CCCCCTGACGCCATTCCAGTCCCCGACACCATCCCGCCTCCCGATGCCATCCCACCCACCGACTCCATCCCACCCCCGGAGTCCATCCAGCCCCCCGACAGTGTCCCGGCCCCTGATTCTGATTCCATCCGGGTCCCCGACGACGCCAACTGGGTCCCTGACGACGCCAACCGGGTCCCTGACGTTACCACACCCCCTGGCACCAACCTGCCCCCTGTCTCCATCCCCACCCCTGGCTCCACCACGGCCGAGCCCCAGCCGCAGGCCTACAGGAGACGAGCCAAGATCACGGGCCGGGAGCGCAAGGCTATGAGAGTCCTGCCCGTGGTGGTCGGTGGGTACCGGTCCCAGGGCTGTGGGCGGAGGGGCAGACGGCAGAGCCCAAGGTGTGAGGCAGCGCCCAGGGCCAGCAGCACTGGGACTCGCTCAAGGCGCCCCCAACCCCTCCCCCAGGGGCCTTCCTGGTGTGTTGGACACCCTTCTTTGTCGTGCACATCACACGGGCGCTGTGTCCCACGTGCGCCGTGTCCCCGCGGCTGGTCAGCGCGGTCACCTGGCTGGGCTACGTCAACAGCGCCCTCAACCCCGTCATCTACACCATCTTCAACGCCGAGTTCCGCAACGTCTTTCGCAAGACTCTGCGCCTCTGCTGCTGAGCAGACGCCCACCCGCCGCAGTTCCCCTGCCAGGACCCAGCCTTGCCTGGGGCTTTGTAGGCGGAGTTAAACAGATCCCAAACACCAGCTGGGAAGGCTTCTGGCGGCAGGGCAGAGCAGGGCAGTGAGGCAGGGAGGAGGAGCCTTTACCCCTGGTGGAGCCCAAGCCTGCACTGACCACCCACCATGGCCAGTTAACCCTCCCTCTCTCCCTTCCTCCCTCCTTCCTCCCTCCCATCCCTCCCTCCTTCTTCCCCCGCTCCCTCCCTCCTTCCTTCCTTCCTTCCCAGGAAGCCCAGAAAACAGACCCCACAGAGCCAGGTCCTGGCTCTGGCCCTGGGGTGGGTGGGGAGGCTCCGCCCAAGGAGAAGTCTGGGGCACAGGGGAAGCCCTTGCCTGGAAACGCTGTCCCCAGCTCACACCCTTCTCTTACGCGCTCCCTCCCCCATACACCCTGCCTGCTGCAGCCCACCCCGACCCTGACGCCTCCTCCCCGCATCCCAGCGGGCCCCGCTCCACCATCCCGGCGCCACAGCTGAGCTGGCCCTGCCCACTGCTTTGCAGCTGCCTTAAGGTCAGAACACAGCTCACTGCCAGCTCCCGCCCGACCCTAGAGGCCCGAAGCCTGGAGGGGGCCTGGGGTGCGGAGTGGTCTCATGGAGGCAGCCTCCCTCCAGGCAGGGCCAAGCACAGACCCACTCGATCAGGCTCAGGCTCGGGTGAGAGCAGGGGGCGCCGCCCCTCCCCCACCCACAGCGTGGCCCCTTCAACCTGAAACCAACCAGCCCGCCCCGTGCAAGAAGCAGGGGAGGTGCGAAGCCGCTGCGCCCCAGGGCTGTGGCTGAGCTTTCCTGTCCAGGACACTGCCTGTGACCAAGACAGTCACTGCCAGGTGCTAAGTTCTCTCTAAACATGAGAAACGGGCTGTGAGGTGCATGGCATGGGGCCTCACCGTGTTAAAATATTTCTGAACGGGCCACCCCTCCCCGTCTCTGGGTGATGACTCTCTCCTGCTCAGGGTCTCAGCTGCTGCCTCCTCCGAGAAGCCTCTCCTGACCACCCCCCAGGACCAGCCTGTCCCTGGGAGAGGCTTGTCCTCAGGGAACTAAGAACTGGGGGCTGATGCTGATGAGGGGTGCCGTGTCCCTGTGCCCCCCAGCGTCTGACACAAGGTGGGAGTGGGGGGAATGTGGCAGGACCCCAGCTCTGGTCGCCACTTCAGCTTCCAGTACCTTCTGGCCTGTGAAGCAGGACGGCTGCAGCGGACACCTGGGTCCCCCCAGGAGGGGCCCAGGTGGCATGACCTCCCCTGGGCCAGACGCCTGCCCCGGAGCTGGGCTGTGGTCCCTCTGGGAACCTCAGACTTGAAGTACAGACCAGGGAGGGGGCCACTGGGCTGACAGCAGGGTCAGGGCTGGAGAGAGGGGCCCTGACTGTGGCCCCTGCTGTCCATTTCCGTTGCTCACGCCACATGCGCCTGAGGGCCTTCTGTGGTCACTTCCGGTGGTCAGAGCTGGCTTCTGCTGCCTCCAAGACGGTCTCAAGCAGCACATACTTGCCAGCTGGCCATGGGGACCTGCTGCTCTGCCCACCGCACCCGGGGGTCCAGATGCTCCTCCTATCTCTTGTATGCCGGGGGAGCTGCTAAGAGGGCTGGGCTAGCGGGTGCACCTCATCTCAGGAGCAGAGCTGAGGATGGGCTGGGACCTGCTCATGGTCCCGCAGTGTCCCTGCCACCTAGTGGGAAGACTCCTGTGACCCCCAAGAGGGGGACAGGTGGACATGGGGGACAGGTGCAGATCCACAGAGCCTGGCTGACCTGGAGGCCCCAGTAGGCCCCAGACTGTCCATACACACTGGGCCAGGCCCACTGTTCTGAGGGTCACCCCAGCCTGCAGCTCCGGGAGCCTCAGCTCAGAGGACCTGCACTCCCACCAGCCGACAGCCGGCCCGCTCTGCCCCTCCTGCTGCTTCTGGCAGGAGACGCGGAACTACGATGATGCTGACGCACCCCTGGCGCCCGGACAGCGACTTCCAGGAGCCACCTGATGTCCAGGGTGACGTGGAGACAGCTTCACAAGCTCCAAAATGATATACTTTGGAAAACCAGGCCCAAAATGTGCAGCCCGCCCCCCAAGGTTCTATTTTAAAGAAAATGAGAGGAGGAAGCGGCCCCACGGTCCCAGGAACCATGCCCCGTGAACAGCTTCCCTGCAGAGCCTGGTCCCAGGGAGGCTGCTGCCCAGAGCTGCCGCGGGCTGGGACCAGGATGTCTCCCCGTAGGCCACGCATCTGCCAAGTCGCCGCTCTGGCATTTCCAGGTTTGGGGGACCCTTCTCGGGACAAAGCCCTTCACCAACCCCTCTGCCGAGGCTGCCACGGCCCCGCTCCCCACGTCCTCACCTTCCCGCCTGCCCCCTCTGCTCTGCAGAACATCCCCCCACACCCTGCAAGGCTGGGCCCCTGCAGGCTGGAAAGGCAGGAAGAGGAAACCAGCACGGGGGCGTCACAAGCACTTGTTACACGAAGGAAACCCAAGCAACCCCACTTCATCCACAGAGCCGCCTGGAACGAGGCAGCGGGGCTCCTGGAGTGCCAGGCTCGGCCGGGGGGATGGGCTCCTGAGCTCACACCCATGTCCCGCTGGGTCTTCAGCCACCCCCTCGGCTTACCGGGTGCCAGTGTCCCCAGAGCAAGTGTCCACGGGCTATGGACTCAGAAGAACCTTCTGGAAGCAGAGCTGGGGGAATCTTTCCACTCCGTAGTGGTATCAACGTGGCAGACAGTGCCGCAGAGGTGGCGTCAGTTAGTCAGTTCAAGTCTGTGAATTAGTCTGAACAGCGGGGCTGCGTCAGGCTGCCCTCGAGGGGTCTTTCCGCTGCTCGGAGCCTCGGCCTTCTCCCCCGACGCCCTCCGGGCACAGATCCAGTGACGCAGGCCTAGGGCTCTCCTGGAAACCTGGGTTCCCGGGATGGCCTGCGCAGCTGGGAGGGGCCGGGGTCTCAGGCGCAGAGGGGAGGAGGCGCCTCATCCGGGTTACACTCCAGCCCCGCCAGGGAGGCCGCAGGTCCAGACACCGCGTCACCCAGAGACTGCACGGGGGCTCGGCTGTCCCGGCTGGCGGCTCCAGGCCTGAGGGATCCTGGTGTGGGGGCAGTGCCCCGCCCCCCAGCTCCTCGATGGATGGAGGGCTGCAGGCCGGCCTTGCCTGACCCAGTGGGCAATGCACATTCCGAGTCCGGCGTCCGAGCTGCACAATCAGGCCAGTGAAAGCGAGCCCCCACCCAGCATCAGGGGTGGGAGCTGGAGCCGCCACCCGGGTGGGTGCGGGGCATCAACTTTATTGACAGACACATATGTACACGCGTGTTACAGGACACCACACACCGTAGGGAAGACCAGATGCTCATGATCCAGGGGATAAAAACAGCACCGTGAGCGGCGTCCACCGGCCGCACCGGAGAGGCCGCGCTCCGCCCTTCCTCGGGGCTGGCAGCAGGCGTCCACTTCCAAGGGCGCCGGTCACTCAGTGTCCGCTAACAACTTGGCCAGCAAGTTTCTTCTCCTCCTTCTCAGCATCCCTGCCATCCTGGGGTCCTTCCTGTGCCAGGCCCGCAGCCCTTACACCGTAACCTTCTCCATCACACCCTCGGCGACGTGGACCTCGTCCCCCTGGACAGTGACAGCAGCCGACTGACCACACATGTGCTGGTGGTCCTTCCAGTCCTGAAAGGAAGGACAGACCCCGGGTCACAGGAGCTGCTACCTCCAGGGCAGGGCCTGAGCGGGGCCCCCACGCAGGTGCGCCCAACCCCCCGTGGCTGGACTCCGAGCCCAGTGCCTCCCACACCTCCCTAGTGTTGAAGGGACCAGCCCAAGAGGCAACAACCAGGATGAGCCCTGAAACATGGCCACGCTCTGACCCTGCCGTTCCCTCTCAGGGACCGAAACACAGTCACCGCACCTGCAGGGATGCTGGTGGCCGAGGTGGCTGCCTGCCTCGAAGCTGGAGCCGCCAGGTGTCCACAGAGGGGCGGGCGGCTGTGGCCCCAGGAAGCTTGGGGAGGACGCCCCCCACCCCTGTCAGGGCAGGAGCTGCTGTCACCTGTTCACAGGTGGGAATCGGAGCGGAGCTCCAGGACCAGGGCTCTGGAGGCCCAATGGTGAGGTTAGGGTTTGACAAAAAATGACAAGACACACACACACACAAGAACGGAAACAGTGCATCCAAATGCTGACAGGGAGATTTCCTGGGTACCTTTGTGCTGTTCTGTGTTTTTTAAGTTTTCTATAGTAAGTGTGCCTTACTTTTACAATAAAGTAAAATTTGAGATCATGACAGGCATACCTGGGAGAGACCATGGGTTCAGTTCCAGAATAAAGTGAATATTACAATAAAACAAGTCACGTGAGTTTTTGGGTTTCCCGGGGCTGATAAAAGGTGTTTATACGACACTGAAGTCTGTCACGTGTGCAACAGCGTGGGTCTAAAACAATCACTGTACAGACCTTCATTCAAAAACAGCCCATTGCTAGAAATGCTGACCACCGCCTGATGGCACAGGGCTGGCACAGGGCTGGCACAGGCCTTCAGTCTGTGAAAACACCAATGCCCGGGAAGCTTGGCAACACGAGGGACGCCTGAGTGCTACAGAAGTAAATTTTTAATTTGAAAATTGTCTGGAAACAGACTATGTAAATCCATACAGTGTGTAAAATTTCACACATGCAAGTCTCAAGTTTACAGTGTTTCACACCGCACATAAAAATCAACTCAGTATTACCCGTAAAAATGAGAGCTCAAATGATACATGTTCCAGAAGAGAGCAGGCGCCTCCCGGCCCTGAGTCAGGCAAAGGGTATGAGGTCGGACACCAGCAGTGTGATCTAAGTTAAAACCTTTTTCTTTATAAACTAGACTCCATCGAAATTAAAACAACTTTTGCCCTGCAAGTGACACTATTAAGAAATAGACAAGTCACAGAGTGGGAGAAATTATTTGCAAATCACATTCTGATAAAGCACTTACATCCAGAATACACACACAATTCTCCGTACTTGACAAGGAGAGAAGCAATCCAATCCAAAAATGGGCAGAAGATTTGAACCGACGCTTCCCCTGAAGGATATTCAGCTGCCAACAAGCACGCGAACCATGCTCAGCACGGCTGGTCACCAGGGAAATGCAGCCATGCTCACTGTGCCACGGTGCCACACCCACCCGAGAGCTCTGGCCAGAGACGGGCAGGTGCAGTGGACGGGGGCGCACGGACCCTCCCATCCTCACTGCAGGGAAGGGGGTCCTTAAGAAAGTGAAATCCACTGCTAGGTGTCCAGCCAAGACAAACAAAAACCTATATCCACCCCAGAACTCGTCCGTGAATGTTCCCAACAGTCCTGCGGCAGAGACCCCTCAGATGTCCACCAGCTGTGAACGGGAGGACTAGGCCCGGCCACACCGTGAGTTCTCAGCTGCGCCCAGGCTCCACACGGACGAACCCTGGAGAAACACTGACAGAGGAAGCCAGATGCAGGGGACCGCATGCTCCATGGCTCCTGTTACATGAAACATCCAGAAAAAGCAAGCGGACAGAGAAAGCATTTTCGTGGCTGCCAATGGCTGGGAGTGTGGGCCCGGGGGCTCTGCTGGAGGGAGGGAAAGGTCTAACACTGGACTGCGACGTTTGCACAACTGCAAACTTACCAAGAATCACAGATTGCGCCTTATGTTTAGTGGGTTTATGGTATGTAGATTTTGCCTCAGCAAAGACGTAAAACACACACACACCCCTCCTGTGGGGTCTGGAAAGGAAATACAGTCTGCAGCTCAAAAACCAAAACAATTCACGGCCCTTGCCCAACTTGTGAAAAGATAAGTGATGTGAACTACTTCCAAGGCTTCCCAGAGCAGAGGGAATCACGGAGGCGGCGTGGCGGGCAGGCTGCGAAATGTGAAGCCAGTGTCACCGTTTACTACCGGTATCTGGGGGCTGAAGTCCCCTCGGGTCCTACGTACCGTTCTTGTTGGATCCCACATGAAAAGCATGGTTTTGAAATCCACTGCACATCGATTTTTGTAAATAAAAGCAGAGCCTATGTGTTTGTTGGGGCAGCAGTCGAAGGAGGACAAACCTGACACAACCAAAGGAAGAAACAGAACCTTCTTCTCCCAACTCACGGCAAGAGACCCAGCGACTGGGGGCCGCGCTCAGACAAAACGCACCTGGCGGAGACGATTCCACCAGGAAACAGACCCGTGAGTCTTCCTGCGATGGTTCAAACTCAGGGACAGTTCACAGCCCCACCGCCCTCCCAGATCACCAGGCAGCACAGAGCCTCCCCGGCTCCCACCGCCCGGGGCCCCTAAGTGCAGTGGCACAGCCACCCACGTCGACAACCCTCAGGGGAAGCAGACCCATGGTTCCATCTCCAAGCCTCTGGTCCCCGGACACAGGCCAGGGCTCACGGGCAAAGCTGGGAGGCGGGTCTTGCCCCACAGACGCCCCTGAGAGCTCTCGCCATCCCCCTCAGGGCGGGTCCCGCAGGAAGTAAGGACACGCTTCCTCCCCCAGCGGCCCCCACAGAGTTGGGGTGAAATGTGCCCTGTCCCGGACACCCTGTCCTGCCCGGGACCCCGCTGAGAACGGGGGGCTGAGATGGCGCCCCAGCAGGGGACCAGCTTTCCCGCAGGCGCAGAGGCAGTGCCAGTGCCGACACCGGTGACGGGATGTGTGACGGCTCGGTACCCTAGTGGTACCTTTGTTCACTGTGCACAGTTTCAAACCGGCACAAAGGAGACAGAATAAACCCTGGGGCTACAGTCCGCCACTTGGCCCTCGCTCCGAGCGAGGCTGAGGGAAGGTCTAACTGGAGCTGGTGGCCGCTGCGCTAGAAAGCATCCTGAACTCTCAGGATCAAAGGGCGAACAGCAGAGACTAAGACGGACAAGCGCAATCCTGCCCGCTGCCAGGACCACGACGAGGTGTCCCAGACGCAGGGGCTGGGACGAGGTCAAAGCCCTGGGCAGCAGGCTCTGGGCCTTGCCCGGCCACGGCACCCGCCCCGTGGGGCTCCGCCGGGCTTGGCCTGGACCCGAGCCACGGCGGATGCCGCGCCGTGGGAATGGGTGGAGCGGGGGAGGAGGGTCGTGGGGGCCTACCTTCCTCTGGCAGAAGGTGGAGCAGTAGTTGACCTTGTGGCAGCCGGTGCACTCGCTCATGGCCTCCCGGCCGCAGTTGACGCAGGACTGCTGCAAGAGGACACGGGGCCGTCAGTGCCGTGGGGACGCCTCTGCCCACGGTCCCTGCAGCGCCAAGGGATCAAGGAGCCCCGGAGGCCTCTGACACGTGTCCCTGCCCTCACGCCCAGATGCACATTCCCGCGACCCCTGGAATCAGCTCCCTGGTCCTGTGCAGGGTCTATGCTCACGGGAGGGACACGGGCCCTGCATCACAGCAGCGCACACCCTTCTCCAAATGCCGAGGAATTTCACTTCTGCCAGGAAAGTGTATAAACCAAACTTAGGAAGAATGGATTGTCAGGCATCAGTAGCATGTCCTGGCCCTGGAACCAGACTGGCCAGGCGGCTCCACAGCCTGCACCCTGGCCACCACCCCGAGCCCATCCACGCGGCCCCACTTGGACCAGCCGGGACAGCAAGTCAGCATACCCGCCCAGGACCTCGGGGATGCCTACCGAAGACACCAAGGATGGGGTGTGCAGGCGGACGCCAGCATGGGCCCCCGTCACTGGGGAGCATATGACCCACGCACAGATGAGTCAGACAGGCCTGCGTGCAGTCCCCCACCGCTATTCCACTTGGATGCGCAAAGCAGCGCACTGCTTCCTGGTTTCTGTTCGGAACTTCAGCTTCCTTCTTCCACAGCATTGCCCAGTGCTGTCTGTCTGCTCACACAGCCCCCCATGTGCACTCGCTTCCTTCTGGAGAACGAGCCTTAGGATGGGGCCTGAGGTGCGAACTGAGCTCACCCCCCACCTCTCCCTTAGACGATGAAGTACTTGAAGAAGGAAACAAAGTCTGTAACCACACAGAGAAAGTCCTCCTGGGAGAGCAAAGGGTTCACAGATCCCACCTGCGCCATGGATGGGGCAGGGCTGGGGCTGGGTGAGAGGCCCCGGGACCCTGGCCCTGCCCGTGCAGCTCGAGGGCCCCCGCCTCGTCCTCAGGGCCCCTCCCGTCCCCCACCCCCCAGAGCACGTGCTGCCCTGGCCCCCAGCTTGGATCTGGGGACAGCTCGTGCTCAGTGAGTGCCTCTGAACTGAACCAAAGGCCTGCGTCACGGACAGACCTCATGGGCCCTCGTGTAGTAAGTACTTTCAACCCTTTGGGCCTTCCCAACACATCCCCTTGGGAAAATGATTTCTTCACCAGAAGTAACCAGGAGCCCGGGGTTCGAGTCAGACACATCAGCACGACCTCCGTCAGTTATGTTCAGAGGGAGACGGTACAGAAACCCTCAGCTGCGTCTGCCCACACCCGTCAGGACCCGCACGTCTCCCCGCTGTCGGCCAAGAGGGCCTAAGACCATCCTCCAGGAAAGGAACCAGGCTCCTTGGAGAAACGGTTGAGTCCAGAGCTGGGGCACTGAAGGGGGAGCAAGCGAGGGAGCTCCCAGCCACCAAAGACACAACGACGTGAGCAAAATGCGTGGTCGCGTCCAGTAGCAGCCCAAGTCTGAAACAGTCACGCGTCTGTCTTTTGAAAAGAAAGTTTTAATGGAGGTACTGAGGATGGAACCCAGGACCTCGTGCACGCTAAGCACACACTCGACCACTGAGCTGTACTGTCCCCCTCATGCAGAAGAATTCCAGACACACACCTAGATGCGCCCCTGCCGCACCCAGGGCGGACGAGCTCGTGACCAAGTGTGGAAGGGAAGTCACTTCACGGAGCGCAGCCTCTGACCTGCCCCCACCCCGGGCCTGGGGGGAGATGAGCCCACTGCGGGAGTGGCTTACAAGAGAGACACCAGAAAGCGCCCCCCCCCCGCGGTGGGGCTCGGCCAGGAGGCACATCTGCATGCAGGACTGACCTGCCAGTGCCCTGGTCCCAACGGCAGCCTCCAGGCCTGAGAACTGTGCCCGCGGACTCCAGACTTCCTGCACATCAGAGCCGCACTCGCCTCAGGGAAAGGGGGTTAAGAAGCTGGCTACAGCCTGAGAGGCCAGCCCCAGCGCCCCTCCCCCAGCCCCACTGGCAGAGCCCCGTGGCCATGTGGCTGGCTCTCTGGACACCTTGCCCTTGAGGGAGGGGCATGTGGCTGCCTGCCCGGTTTAATCTCTGCTGAGCTAATTACACACGCAATGAAAATGCCCCACTGGTCAAACTGGCAAAATCTCCTTAGTTTCACCTGGCCTAGAACTTGATTTTTTAAGAAATTCCAAATAAAACGTCAAAGCAGGCAGCCCTGGCTGTGAGCACCTGCATCCTGACACGGGGGTGGGGGGCAGGGGGTACCCCACCTCCTCGAGCTCCTGCAGCCTCACCCATGGGTCCCCCCATCGGCCCCACCGAGGAAGAGGCAGTGGGCGGTCAGTCCAAGCAGGAGCCTCTTGGACACCCCCGGGGGCAGCGCCCCTCCCCCGGCAACCCCTGTGGAGCGCCCCCAGCGCCCTCCGCAGCCCATGGCCACTCCCCCCGGCCCCACAACCGCCATGCTTCAGGGACATGACTCGGGTCCCCTCCCTCGTGACCCCTCCCTTGAGCAGCACCCAGAGCCCCCATGAGGCACCAGAGAACAGACTCTCCAAAGAACCACAGTCCAGCTCAAGAGTCCGTTTGCCAAGAACCCAGCATGCGGGTGATGTGTCACCACAGGGCCGCTGAGATCAGACCCTCACCCCCTTAAAATGGGAAACAACACTCAGCGCTGAACAC